TCGGCTGAAACTGTACACCCAACGCAATTCCTAATATTGTCTCTCGCGCGGCCAGGAGGCCGCTTCCAGCATGACGGGGAATCAGTGTGAGCGCAGTCATCGAATCTTCTTTATCAATTGGACGTGTCATCATCATTTGTATAATTTCCTCATCTGTAGATATCACCATCAGTGTGTATGCCAGCTCGAGCTCGCCTCGAATGAAGCTCTTCTTCATAATATATATATATATATATATATATATATATATATATATATATATATATATATATATATATATATATATATATATATATATATATGAAGACGATGACGACAGTGCATACGCACATCTGCACGCATTTACGCAGAAAGCAATAACTAGAAAATAGAGAAACGCTCTGGCACGCCGGCTTCCTCAACCTGTTCAATACGACCTTTGTCTTCACGTCGCGACACTGGTGGAGGTGCTGGAGCCTGCAACGTTATTCAGGTAAGCGAAGTTCCGTACCGTAGACTCAGTCCGGAACCTCAACATCTTCTTACGGCTCCAGTAGAATGAATCAGCCACTCCGATGTCCCGACGTGAACGAGGGGGCCCCTAGTGGTTGTTCCTGTTTCTATATCAAACTTTCGTCGGAGCTTCATGAGTAGTAAAAGTATTGTAGGACTCTGGTTTTATCATTGCGGAGTTAGGTCGTTTTGAGTTTTTTGAAATGACAAAACCGAGAAATCTTGGGGCTGTCGATTAATCCAACGTGAATAATTTCAGAAAAGTTGTGGCAAAGAGAACAATGTCATCTGAATAATCTAGAACGACACATTTCTGATTACGAGGCAGCAGGCTCTCAAATACGGTTGGCATAGCGTTTTGAAATTTAGCAGGAACATTTTTGAGTCGAAATGGCATACGCGTGCATTCAAAATGTACCACGATGCATGATGAACCTTTTGGATTGTTCTTGTGGACGTCTTCCCATTTGATGGTATTGTATTTCAGGGGTTGCCGAGTTATTGCAGAATAACCGGCATTGACCACGCGGACGAAGCTGCTAGATCGGCTCATGACCAAGATCTGTAGACGTCCAAACTACTCTTGAGAACGGACGCCGCTGCGGCTGCAAACACTGGCTCGCCGTGGCACGCTTCCACAATAGAATACACAGTAGAATACGTTCAACGCGCACCTGTATTCAATCAACCCATATTTACTAGTTCACTTACCATCCGGTCTCTTATGATGCTATGGAACTTTGCTGTGTCGCATGTGGTTGGGCGTGGCATTTACGAATGCGTATTTGTGTCTCAATGGAATGGCCAGCAGTGAGGCACACAACATTTGCGCTTCCGAGAAGACGCTTGAACACATTCTATGCCCCTGCCAATCCTACCGCACTCGAGGACGTGGTATGGAAGCCAAGCTATGTCAACTGGATTCCGCACCACTTGCAGGAAGGAAAAACCTAGGCACCTTGGCCGACATTCTCGCATACGCGCAAGGCCATGAAAGCTCTCTTGTGCTTCTTGAGGACCACTGGACTTCACAAGAGCTTGTGAATGAATAGAGAGAGACCGTACTTTGTGGTCTGAAGCTGACTCTTTATCCATGTCTTTCTTGTTGTTCTTTTTTCTGCGTCTTCGTCGTTTTTATTATTTGTCCTTTCCCCCAACTAAAGTGTAGGATAGCCAACTGTGACAAAGCTTGGTTAGCCTCTCTGTATTTCCCCTTCATTTCTCACACTCTCTCTTTCGCACTCATCTAAATGAGCTTCCGGCATATAGTGGTTCATTGTTACTGGACTAGGGAACGTATATGTCTAAAGCAGGCGCCACTCCACCACCTGTCCTCTGTTCAATGACAAACGTGCTAGTTGTAAACCTCCTCCTCGTCCGATAGTACTGCGCGATTTCTCTTTAAGTGGTCATGTTTTCAATTGTCTCATCGTTTACTTAGCTGGACCAGGACAAGCGAGAGGCTCGGACTGTGAGTCCTCAGTGTGCAGTCTTCTTATCCGGGTAAAAAAAAGTTAGTGAGTTCTCAGACTATATCTCATGTTTGCTGGTCTTTGTGGTCAGCCTATATTCTTAGTGCTATTTAAATATTCGCCCTCTTGCAAAGTTTTACATAGTCGTTTGCGAATAGCGAACAAATATTGAAGCCGAGGTCAATGCTATGGCCAGTGCAATTGCTATGGCCGCCTTCCCTGGAAACCTCGTTCTTATCGAGATGCTGACCTTAAAAGTTCTTTGGTAGTCTATCACTGCTATGCTGATATTATCATTTTCTCTGTATTTGACTGCGTCTACGAAATGTGTTTGGGGAAATCTTGGAAGTTATGTATGTTTTCGCCCTTTTTGCCCACCTTGCCTCATGATGTTCGAACTTAATATTGCTTTATAATGCAATCTTTTAGAGAGAGACACAAATAACAACTTGCTTAGATGCTATAAACGAATTTCGTCTGTGATGCAAATGACCACAGCACGCATAGGAAGAGCGCACGTTTAGTGAAAAAAAAAACACTGGTACGATGACACTTATATTATGAACTATATTGAAAAAGTGGAGTCCAATTAAAGCTAAATTTTGCGGGAAAGGGCAAAAGCTGATAATGGTGATGATATATGAGGTTTAACGTCCCAAAACCACCATATGATTATGAAATACGCTGTAGTGAAGGGCTCCGGAAGTTTCAACCACCTATGGTTCTTTAACGTGCACCCAAATCTGAGCACACGGGCCTACAACATTTCCGCCTCCAGCGCAAATGCAGCCGCCCAAGCCGGGACTCGAACCCGCGACCTCCGGGTCAGCAACCGAGTACTTTAGCCTCTAGACCACCGCGGTGGGGCAGGGCTAAAGCTCAAATGTGTGTTGTCTGTCTGGCCTTCTCCGAGATCCGCGACATTGTTGAGTTGCCAGTTAAAGGGAACATCTTCGACGAAATCGAGACTAATAAATGGTTGGGGCACGAAGCTCGTTGGCGAGATAACAGTTGGTGATTTAGACTAATGACTGGAGTCTAAGAGAAGGCAAACACGTGAAGGGGAGCCCTAATGTTATGTGGGCAGAGTAGATTAAAGAGTTTGCGTAAATAGCATGGCCATAGAAAGCGCAGGACTGCATTGATTGGCGGAACATTCGAGAGGTCCTTGCCCTGCAGTGGTCGTAGTCAAGCTGATGAAGATGACAGAATTCTCCGTACTTTTTGAAAATACAGCTGATAGAGATGTATACTCAACTTCTAGTGCCCTCTGATTCTCCTACACAGGTCAAACAGATTCCTCGTGCGTCAAAGAGCAACACGGTTTACTATGAGCAGCCACGTGCTTATCTGTACGTATGTACACATTCCTTCAGCTGTTATCTTTTTTTCGCTGTCCTTTAATAACCTCTTTTTTGACGAACTGATAACTGTCACTCAAGCGGCAGCTCCTCAGAATGAACGGTCTCAGTACGTAGTAGAATATTCCTTCGCCTGACAAGTTTACACACGTTTCCCAAAAAATGACCGCTTGCTACGTTTTTCAAGACCAACTACTGAAAATGACGCGAATAGATAAATAACTAAAAATTTACTCGGAGGCAACTACATTAAGTTTTTTTTTCATCGCAGTCGCAGGAATTTAATCATGACAGCTTTCTGTACCTTACTAGAATCTGCACTGCCTCCGGGATCACAAGCTTCGCAAGCTTGCTGCGTTTAAAAACGTTTTGCAGATCCTCCAGTACAGGGCCAACTATGACCGAAATACGATGCGACGTGACGTTGTCATCGTGCAACAACGCCTCAATATGGGACGTCGTGGTGGCTCCAAAAGTTTGGCAATATATGGCGGCATGATTGTGCCACATAGTTACGTCAGCGTCTGAACCTTTTTGGCATCACTCAACTTGTCACAGCCTATCAGTTTCAGAACATCAAACATTGTTTATTTGCAAAAAAAAGATACACAATTTTTTGCGGAAGGCAAAAACTAAGGCTTAAAATCCTGGCGACGTCTTCACCTCCTCATAACTAACACAGCTTGCGCTAGTAAAAAAGTATAGTTATTTACACATCAGTAACCGGCATATACACACATCGGTGACATATTTTACTCACGATTTACACATTCCACTAGAGCATTTTCGTATATTTACCTTATGTACATATTCAAAATGATCAATGCACTAAGATTATGCTTTTTTCGCACACAGAAAACAAAAACAATTACAAGCTTTAAAGGGGCTTTGTTCTGCATATGTCTATTCTACATATCTCACATACATGTCGCGTTTGATGAAGCATCGAAGACATTCGCTTCCAACGAGTGCTGACATAAATTTTAAATGTCTTTGGATTCTTGCTCTAAATAAAGAGCTTTGGTATCGGGGACTCTAATCATGGTATTGCGCAATACACAAAGTACATTTTAATATTACTACCCTATATAAAGGGGAGGGGGAGGGGCTTTCGGCTTCAGTGTCGAGGAGACATTGGCTTCCCAGTGACATATCATTGCAGTCTGACACCACAGCAGATCTCTTATCTGCACGTGATGTACGTAAATAGCTATGAGTATTGTCATCTGTGACTTAAGCAGTAGGGGGCCACAGATTTCGCACACTGATATGAACTGTTCTCACTCATCGGGAAAACATTTATTACAGAGGGGCTGGCTTGTGTATGCTGAGTGAGGAAAACTTCAAAAATCAAAGTACAATATTGCATACGTATTTTCTGACTCCGTTGTGTTGAAAGTGTCAGCACTGCATCTCATGGAAACAACAGATGTCTAATTTGCGTTGTATCGAAATTCTGTCAGTACACTTTTTATGGGCGCCTAAGCATCCTAAAACGAGTTTGCGCTCAGTTCAGGCGTACTGGTGACATAAATACATTTTCATCCAGCACAGACCTGATGAGAGGCCATCCTCCACGAGAGATGCCGTACGACAACACGCTCACAATACAAAAGGAGCGCGCTTCGCTTTATCGCGTGACCCTTATTGAAAGGAGAAGAGAAAGGCGGAGCCTTCAGCTGGCTGCGCAGCATGCCTTCACGCGGCAACGCGCTGGGAGTCATCAGTTGACACTACAACACCGCGCCGCTAGGTTGTTTCAGTGAACGCACTTGTCTCTCGAACAGACTTTCTACATTCGCCCTCACGATGCCCGACCTAAGGGGTAAAGTGGCCATCATAACGGGTGAGTTCTATAAAGTTTGCATTCTCTTGACGACCAATGTGGCTCGGGCAACATATAGAGCTTGTGGTAATGTCATGCAATGTTTCGGAGAGATTTTCGAAACTATTAATTAGGAATTTTCGCTAAATGCAATATAAGTGTATATTTTATGAATTCTGTCCGCATCACAACTGCAGAGGTGTCCGGCATAAACGTTTACGAAATATCTCACGTAAAGCCATAAAGGCAAGACATTCCTTGACTTCACGTTTTGACATAAAAAAAGAGATGTATTTTAAAGTAGATACTGAATGAGTTGAAAAATAGGTGTTCCGAGTTATCAGATTTTGCACATCACGTTTTCTTGGTGATTACGTTTTCTTGGTGATTGAAGCATGCGCCAATCAGGTCACTGCCCTCGGCCAAGAGACTCAACAATTGTACCAGCTATGGATGCATATCAGGGACGATATCGTCTGCAGTGGCGTCCGTTTTGCACGATGGCGAAGACAGGGGCGCTAAATGAAGGCCAAACCTTTACCTGTGATAAATTTCTTTGTACCGACCTCAAAGTCATCCAGAAGGTCGTCATCAAGACTCGTTCTACACTCTTGTCAACTCTATTTTAAGTATCATTCAAGCGGCTCTCGACACCCGTCTTAAGACTACCAGATCTGAGGTCTGCTACATAAAATACCAATACAGTATAAGGATAGGTTCCTGTTATGGCACTCGCGGACATGCTTAACGACCCGCCAACAAAACAGATAGCGCCGCTTCAGTTGTCCAGTGACTAAAGTACCCAGCTGCAGGCACGCCGGTCACGGGAACGAATCCGGCTGCAGCGGTTGCATTTCAGATGGAGCCGGAAATGCTTTAGGCCTATGTGCTCAGATTTCGGTGCGCATTAAAGAACCCCAGGTAGTCGAGATTCCCGGAGCCCTCCGCTACGGCGTCTCTCATTATCATATGGTGGTTTTGGTACATTAAACCAGATATCTCTCTCAACAAAACAAATAACATAAGAATGTGTCCTTCCTATGCTAGTGCATCTCACCTCGGGCATGGATCCAGGAAGCGGCGTTCATTGAAGTGAAGAACCTAAAACATTCTTGCTTTCAAGAACTGTGAAGTTCCCCACACAAGGTCAGTGCTGTCCACTACAAGAACAGTGGTCGCCATGTGTTGTCACTTTTTAAGGCCCTCGATTTCTTTCTGAACGCATTGTATACTACGTTTGCATTCTCTGCCTTCATCCAGACAAGCCGTCTGTTGTGTACTGCGACTGCTACTTCAAACAGACACATAAACCGTGCTTCACAAATAGACATATAAACCTGACCTTGCCCTCCTGGGACGACACAATGACACGCCAGGCATCAGTACCATTGGAATATGGTCTATTCCGAACAAATGATCGTGTTATCACTTCCGCCTTAAGTCGTACCAAGCTAAGAGTCACTAAGTAAGCTTGCCAATGCCAGCCTCGGCAACCATAGAGACTACGTAGTACCCATGGGTAAAACAGGTCCCCGTACACAACCACTACAATTTTCGCCCCACTAAGTGGCTACGATACTCATGTGGCACTCGCAACCACGACACGTAGCTCTGCCTCATCTACTTATAGTGCAGGGATTAGGTCGCCTAGTTCGCAACTCTGACATGCTTCCTAAGTGATAGAATACATTAGAGAGTCCGGGATGAATTCTCACCTAGCCACCCTCAAAAGGGGAATCCGGCGTCTCAAAGAAACTTGAATTGCAAAAAAACTTGAATTGAAAGAGATGGAATGTGCACACTGAATTTTCCATCGACGTCAACTCCTGCGTCTACGGAGACAAGTTCTGTCTCAGCTCCTGTGTCGATACGTCTTTCACCCCAGGAACTTCTGCGCTCATTTGCGCAACAATTCCTGCTTCAGACTTCAGCTAAAATGGCTGATTTGAACCTGTGATTGTTTATGCGTCAATTGAAGCACATTGAATTTTACAGTAGAGAGCCACGCCAGCATCTTCAATATGGGTAGCTGCATGCATAGGCTCTGCTTCTTCAGGAATCCAATGGCGTGCCACCTCTACCAGGTTTCGTGGCACACTCTTCGCTTCTAATGTTGTATGGGGGGAAAAGTTGCAGTTTGTGTGCGAAGCAATTTTCATCGGACTCATGTGGACCTTCCGCGAAGGCAGGCAGTCACCGCTACCCTTGTCCGTCTCCACCGCACAGACGTCATCATTGCTTCGTACTACACTCGTTCATGCACTGCTAGCGTGACTCAGATATATCTCATAAGGACCTTGGATGCCGCGCACAATAGTTGCACGTAATTTAACTCATCTCACAATACATGGGATAATGTTTACTTCAACGCGCATGGGATATGCGTGCTAGATAGGTTTACGAAAGCACGCTTCGCGTTTTTTAAGGATGTGCAAGTGCCAACATAGGTTTTCACGCGAGAGGACAGGGTGGGCCGTACTTGGTTATCTAATAAGAAAAGGGGAGGGCGACATCTGTTCGATGCATTCACTTATGGAGGGCGCGCTGCATGAAACCATTGGTTGCCCCCCCCCCCTTCTCTCCTTAGGAGAACCACCATGCGCACGCCTGGGAGGTCCCACCTGTCGGCGTGGGGAAGCTCGTGCATTGCTTCATTCAGCGGACGTACTTATTGAGCCGCAAGCAGCAGTGTGGTCTCCTGGCCATGCGAACCTAACTACCACGGAAGCGGCCACGTTTTGCATGAACTCGTTTCGTGTTCATGCAAACCGAAAAACCGAAAGAAAACCGAAAGAAAATTTAATGAGTTCACGTTTCGTGAACTCATTAAATTTTCTTTCGGTTTTTCTTTATATATACACGGCCAGATAATTACTTTTTGACACGAAGGTGTTTTATGCCGGGTTCCACCACGGTTCCACTGACGTATTTCTGTCATGAATATGACGTTGTAAAATGTATACTAACAGATTGAGAAGAAAAAAAACACAAGATCGGATTTCTTTCGCGTGGAGTCGAACCACCACTCTCTCACTTCGCAGTGCTCTGCGCTAAGCACCATGCCAAGCAGCGATTTGCCAAGCCTGGACCATATACACCAAACAACATCCCTCTCTACCTTTTATTCCCTTTACCCTCTCCCCATTGCAAAGTTGCCTACCAGGCTCAGCCATGGTTGACCTCCCTGCCTTTCTTTCATCCTTATTCTCTCTCTCTCTCTCTCTCTTGGCGAACATCAGAACTCCGAAACTCCATGGAGCGTGGTCTCTCCTGTGCGCGCGCTTATCAGATTCATAATTCGGAAAGGACGAAGGTCACTTCGCTCGCTGCCGGGACTGCGTTTGCAAAAGTAGCATGCTGCTTACAACCTACGAAGTAAGAATTGTAACAGTTGATCGCGCGTGTCCTGTGTATACTTGAGATTTTGTTTCGTGCATCTTTCTTTATGTTAGAACAGCGTGCTTTCTCAGTTTCCATCTGTGAAGGTTGTTAGTCCGCGCTCCTGCTGTGTGTGTTAATTTCGTGCGTTCTTTCTTTTAGGATGTGCGCTGCAGGTTTTGACCAATTTCCCGTTCTTCACGTCACTTTATAATGCATTGCTGTTGCTTAAACAATGCACACTAAACGCTCAAAAACATCAGGGAAGAAATGTTTCATTTGCGTGGGAAACCAATTTTTCGATGGGAGAATCAGCCGCGTTTTTTTGTCGCTTTCGTTACTCAAGATGACAGTAAGACGCGCCTCTCCAGCGCCGTTTTTTTTTAAATGCGAAGCATTTCTTAGCGAGCTTCGCCGACTTTGAGCGTATCTATCTATCTATCTATCTATCTATCTATCTATCTATCTATCTATCTATCTATCTATCTATCTATCTATCTATCTATCTATCTATCTATCTATCTATCTATCTATCTATCTATCTATCTATCTATCTATCTATCTATCTATCTATCTATCTATCTATCTATCTATCTATCTATCTATCTATCTATCTATCTATCTATCTATCTGTCTATCTATCTATCTATCTATCTATCTATCTATCTATCTATCTATCTATCTATCTATCTATCTATCTGTCTCTCTGTCTATCTATCTATCTATCTATCTATCTATCTATCTATCTATCTATCCGCCTACGACTTTTAGCTCTCCTGGCCGTCTCCTTAATGGTATCAATACTAAATTTGGTATGGCATAACACGACTGTATGATGAGCATAACTAACTAGTCATAACATGACTATCATGATATGTATGTCATGAATGTTATTAGTTATATTTCAAGGTCTTGCTGCTCTTGCGGTGTTTTAGTTCACATAACATGTTGCAAAATTGGCATGGTATGACATGATTGCATGGCGAACACAAGTGGCTGACCCTAATGTGTAAATCGACATGCATGTCATGTAAGTCATGATTCATAACTACGCACCACGATCATGCAACGCTTGCAGTCGTTTCGCCAGCCTCACATATGCCAAATGTCGTGTTACGGGACATGAAAGGATGACGAAGGTGTGTGACTGGTGTAAACATGATAATCATGAGATGCGTCTCATGTAACAACATGACTACATGCCACACTCATGATGTGCTCACGGCTGTTTCACTAGCTTCACATGTACCGAATTCGGTATTACGTGACGCGAACGGAAGAAATATGTAAATGACGCATCCTAACTTGATAATCATGACATGCATGTCATGTAACAACAAAACTATATGCCACACACATGATGTGCTCGCAGCCGATTCGCTAGCTTCACATATGCCAAATTTCGTATTACGTCACGTGAATGTATGTTGAAGGCATGTGACTGGTGCAAATATGGTAATCATGAGATGTGTGTCATGGAAGAGCATGACTACGTGCCACACTCATGGCGCCAAACACTTCGACGTAACCCGGTGCGCGTGCGTGCCAGCGTTCGTTTTGTTGCGTCACGCTGGCGATGCCACGCCAAGTGTCGATCTGCCTGGCATATACATGCAGGCGCACACCGCGGTGTGGTGCTTTGA